TATTCGAAGATCAGTGTAAAAACGTTTCCAGTAGGAACCAGATCTAGATGACAACCAATGCCTGTGTCCTGGTCAGAAGTTACTTTTTTAGAATAAAGTTATTTCAAATATTATCTTTCACTTAATCAACATGCATGCCAACTTGGACTCATGAGGGCAAACAGACTTTTCAATTGTGTGAACATTGGCAGTTTTCTGATCTATGCTGACACACCTCAAAAATGTATTTTTCCTTCGGCAATGTTGGTCAAATGGCCATGAAACCAAATTATGTTGCTCTGTGTTTTTAAGTGTTTAGAAATCCAAAAAACAACAATGTCATTGTACAGGTTCCAATCTCACAAAGAGTGGAGCCAAAATACAAACACTTCTTTACAGATTTTGAGTTAAATGAAACTGCATGTTCATTGTGTGACAGTATAGATACAAAGAGATGCACACAGTGACTTGGTTCCAATATCTTTGAACACATGTATTGAACAGTGTAGTAGTGAAGTATTTCAGAGATGCCAACCCTGAATCTAAGGAAAACGGAGTCATGACTGGCTGAAAGCCAGGCCTGAGCACCAAAGGTGAGAGTTGGGGGTGAGCGCATGGTCTGCTCTGCCATTTTGTTTCACTTTCATACGGACTATGACATGCATTCGGAAAAACTTTGTCAAACTTCATTGTCAAAAACATGCTGTATACACAATCGACACCCAAAGGATCACACACTAAGCTTCTGAATGCTTTTACCAGTTTTCACTCAAATAAATCACCGGTGACTTACGAAATTGTATACCGTAAAAATAAATTCAGAATTTTTTCTAAAAAATCGGAGAGCAGATTTTGTATTTGAAAATTGGAGTAACACCGCCAAAATCGGAGTGGTTGGCATCTCTGGTATTGTTGGAGGAGGCCACAGCAAGACACTGCTACTATGGTGGAGATAAAGGTAAAAGGCCAACAAAAAACCAAAGCTGGAAAAAGAAGAGGCACCAATGGTCCTGGAATAAAGGAAGTGTTTGGTTCCAATAAAACAGACTATGTTCATGACAATGTATACACATCACTGTCAAACCATTGTCTTTCATGAACCTATGGTAAACATCTGATAAACCTACTAACGCTTCTCTCTGGAAACTGAAAAGTCTCGTTCAGCAGTAGTATGGTTACATTAGTGAAGTTGTCACATGAGGCAGTCTTCAGGGAATCGGGGGACCACAACAGTTCACATTGGACATTCAGGATAAAAAATAAACAAGTTCTGGTCATCACACTTGCATTCTGTCAGATTCAAATACTTTAAACAGAAGTATATTAAGATACTATGTGCAAAAGATGAAAACACTGTTGGTTTTATTGAACTGACTGACTGGGTTTAGTATTACGCTGCTTTTAGCAATATTCCAGCAATATCACGGCGGGAGACACCAGAAATGGGCTTCACACATTGTGCCCATGTGGGGAATCGAACCCGGGTCTTCATCGTGACGAGCCAACGCTTTACCCATTAGGCTACCCCACCTAACCGGTTTTATTGAAGACCCAAAGATGTATTATTCAAAGTTTGAAATGCATTACCTGTGGGTTTTTCCGGCCATAACTTTCGAACAATTTAGTAAGCGATTCTGGTTCTAATTTCTCCAAAAGTGCCTTTTGCACACGTTGGGTTAGTGCTGCTGGATTCCTCATTAAAAATAGCCCTTTGTTCTGGTTCGGTTGCAGAATCCTTCATATAAAACACATTTTTTGCACATGCTATCTTGATGAACATACCATAAAGATTTTGTATTCCATGATGAACATGCCATAAAGATCTTGTGTTCCAGTAAATGGTATTCATCTCACAGGCTGGTTCAAGGTACATCATCACAACTGGAGGGGTGGAGGCATGTCAAGCCCTTCAGAAAGTAGGATTACTTTTACTCTAGTATCTTACAAGTACCTGCTGACCGTGAGCTGTGTCTTACTTGCCCTTCATACATGGTAACAATATTACAAGTGTGCAATTATAATGTATTGAACACATCATGCATGTAAACTTTAAACAGGGAGGAAACGCCATCAATTTGGCCCCAATATAACCTTGACCAAGTTGGGTAAAGGCGAAATAAGTCAACTTGGAGCGAAACAATCCAGTCAAGGTTTTGGGGGATCACAGCTTGTATGCCTTTCAACTAAACATTCCTATTTTACATATTATCTCACAGGAAAACATTCCGACTTTTGTTATTTCCCTGTCATACACCTCATCCATCCACTCATCACTGATGACATCATATTGAGGCTTATATAGCATCAGATACCCTGTTGGATCGGCTGATGCAACCTGTGGGGTCAGCCTATAATACCAATGGCTGTCAACACAAATGTTTATGTCTTAAAGGAAATTACAGAACAGAACTTATCTGACATTAAGAATATGTGTTTGGCTTTGCATTTTTATTTATTCATGTCAACTAATGCCAATATTTCATAAATCACAGATTATCCAGTTATCCATATGTATCACTAGCCTCCACACTGAACACATACAGACACATGAACAGTGGATTGGTACAGTCTAAGCCCCACAGTGAAAAACCCTCTTTGAAAATATCTATCACACATTTGTTTTAAGGCAGAGGGCTATCTGGCATCACAACCTTAATACATACAGTTGACTAATTCATTTCCTATATGTTTTCCATAAAGCTAATCACTCCTATACACTAAACAGGTGCCCTTTTTATGCTAGAACTGAAGGTTAAGACAATTGTCTTTCTCTTAAGTACATTGCAGGTTATTTAGAGAGACCATGTCCAATTTGTTGTGTAAAATCTTACTGAAAAACAACAAAATCTAACTGTTTTGCATAACAGTCACAGAAAATTCGCATTAAGTGATTTATCATTGTTGAAAATTAATCTGAGTAATCATGATCACTACAATTACATTTCAAGTGTTTAAAAAGTACAAGAAACTTAATGTGATATCATTTTGAGATACAAGTAAATAACACCCAAATAAATGCAGGTGAAGAAGTTATGTCAAACAATAACAAGAAGCATCCTCTTGTGATCATAACTGCCAAGGCAATTGTACAGTCTTATGCAGTGTAAACATAAAACATGAGATGCTAACAGGCAGGCGACTACTTCTCACTATTCCTCTTGTACCCTTTCAGATGGAGAATGAGTATATGAAGAACTACACTACAGGACATTTTGAGATATGCAAAAATATTTCATAACAAGTTAATAACAAGATTGAAATTGAAAACAGCATATAAGAAGGTAATTTGAAGAATAAACAGCAACTTCATATTTTAGTTACCATTCCCCAAATGTAACTCTAAAACTGTAATGTTGGATAATTTACAGATATTTCAAAAAGATTAGAATTAAAAGCTGAAACTTCAAATACATACAATACAAATATTCAAACATGCTCAAAACCACATGATCAGTTTCGAAAATGTAGTTAGCTACATCAGGAAAAAATACCTACAGAAAAAAAGTTTAATTTTAACATAAAAAAAAATGGCTCCAATAATCAAACACTACTTAAAAGGGCTTTATCATTACTGAAAAGAATGGTTTTGAACATGTTCTCAAACATCCTTTAAAGACCTACTTCCATTGGGAGTGACCTGTGTATGTATTAGTTGCATAGTGAGCTGATTTGTTCATTCAACGACATCTTCCAACAAAATCGACACATTCCACAACAAACTTGACAATTAAACCTATAAATGAGGAAAAGAGTCCAATATTAGGTGTGCAACCCTCCAGTGCAAAACAGGACTAAAGTAACTGTAAACCACACAAAACAGAAGACACAAAACACCTGCTTTGACACCCATGAAACCATTCCCTTGAGGTAACAGCTGAAAACTACAATAACAGGGAGAAAAGGAGAAAACTATAAAAATATCACCTTTCAATAAAATGGACCAAAAGGAAGGTAACTCAACCAATCAAAATTATGTACCATTTACGTAATCTGTGGTATGAATAATAGCAGTATGCTGTGAGAACAACCTACAGCATGACACATGTATGATATGTATACTGAGAGAATCATACCTCTGAGACAAGTAGCAGAATAGAACACTGTTTGGAACCCTCATCAGAATGTGAATTAAGAACAAACAGGAAGAGAACACTACAACTGTGTATAAAAGACAAGCTTTGTTCATGACATTTATTCTGTGGAGATATTTAACATGTTATACACAATTTCTAGAAGTATTAACAATTGTCCAGAGAGATTGCCATCAATTTACTATTACCAGTAATGTTAACAGAAATTTCACCACTTCCACAAGATGACCAAATACAGTACGGTGAAAGGGTGAATTTGTCTTCTTTCTTAACTGACTGACTGACTCAGTTTGGTTTTATGCCGCTTTTAGCAATATTCCAGCAACATCACGGCGGGGAACACCAGAAATGGGCTTCACACATTGTACCCTTGTGGTGATTCGACCCCAGGTCTTCGGCGTGACGAGCCAACGCTTTAACCACTAGGCTACCCCACCGCCCCTCTTTCTTAACAGTTATGTTTACAGTAAGGACTTGACTAGCTCTTTAACAGCAAGTGTCTGTACTAGAAGTGCACGCAGTATACTGAGGGTTGTCATAGACCCATGGCCAACCTCGCTGCAGATTGTCCTAGTACTGAGGAATGATTGTTGAGGTTCTAACTGTGATGTCTCTATAAGGGTATAAACATATTGGTATTTACAATAACCCTGCTTATAGGCAGTCCTTATGTGCACTGTAGGCATCCATAGTGATAAACTGATAACCTGGGTCACATTCCACAAAACAGTCTCAGCACAACGACAATCCTATGTCTATATTGAAGTACACATTTTACTTTCGTCAGAATGCTGAGCTTGCTTTGTGGACAATGTCCCAGAGCTTTATGATATATGATGTTTCTTACACTGACTAATGTTTTGGCAAATATTCAAAAGGATTCCCATCAGTATGACCTGTACTGGTATTTTCTCAAAATGTTGTCAATTTTGTCTAGTTTCACCCTCAACTACATGTATGGCCAATCTTATGAGTTCACTTATAGAGGAGTAGGGGCCTGTTTCTCAAACCTACCATAGTGCCATAACTATTGCCATGAGTACCATCCACTGTTAAATTTTATTGCTCAAACTAGTCTTCTTTCAACATCCAAAACAACTTTCATTTCCCAACAGAGGGAATAATGAGCTCTAGTCATTATAGGACTGGGCCACAGGTACCTGTTCCACAAATCAGTCTTAGGCCAACACACTTCCAAATGCTGCACATAGATACAGATGAGTCAACCTTGTCAATGGCACCTTGCAGCTAGCATCCTTTACTACTGAGGTAACCCATCCTTAAACAACAAGTTAAGTAAGACAAAGCACTAAGATCACTTCATGGAACTGGGCCCCGGGACAGAGTCAGTAAACCCTTTCAGATAACGTCTTTTGTTCTCATGGTATAACAGTTTCTATATTCCCCAATATTCCGGTGAATATGACAGATATGTCCCACCTCCCTGGTATGGACATCCCTGACTCCAACTACTCTCTGCAGTGCACTATACTATAGCAACATCTGTGCCCGTGCTTATGCTGAGTCCTGTTTGAACTTGATTTTCTCTAGTTCTGTGATCGGTAGGTGTAGCTGCAGGGGGTCACGAAGGCGACGGAGGTCGTGTTCAACTTGCGAGACAGCGTCACGCAGTTCGTTGTACTTCTGAACATCCAGATTTTGTTTCTTGGCTTGCTTGTAGAATTTCAACAAGAATTGGCGATCTCTTACTTCTGGAAAATTGTAGTCCTGAAAATATATGACGTTAATATTACCTCAAAGAGATCTTCACTCACCTTCAGTTTTCTGAATGTCTTAAACTTCTGGTAAGGCAACTAAGAATTCGGTAGTCTATCTCAGTGTTTGCAATACTTTAATTTGCCAGTTGGCCATCAGGGCCTGCTGCCGCCTGAAGGCCTTAAAATCTACAGGCCCTGAATGAAATCTGCAGGCCCATTTTGTTAAAGTCAAACCAATAAAAACAAAACAGACTACACTGATTCATTTAGCGAAGTATTCATTTGTTAAATACTTTTGTTGACATTCCTACGCTCAAAAGTGCTGAAATACCAGGAAGTGAAACTGTATGTATCGTAACATGATGGATCATGGATGATTTCCGAACATTAATAAAGAAAAACAATATGGGAAAGATTCCAGTTTGAAAAAAAATACATTGACAGATAATTTGCTGAAGGCCACAAGGGCCTGCAAATATTTGAAACTGCGGGCCCGATACAATAACAACCGGCGCTGGGCCTCTGGGCCGGCGAATGCTCTTTGAACGCTGGTCTAGATCACTGACCTGGCTGATGCATGTCAGTGTATTTCAGTTGCCCATGTTTGTGATGTCGATCACTTGATTGTCTGGCACAGACTCGTTTATTTACAGAAGGCCGTCAAAAATACAAACTAAACCATAATTGAAGGATGAGGACTATTTTTATGGATATACAACTTTTTTAATTCTGTATAGACGTTTCAGCAAGTGATGACAAAGACACTAGAATCTATGTCGAAACGTGCCTATACAGAATTAAAGAAGTTGTATATCCATAAAAATAGTCCTTATCCTTCATCTACCCAACTTCTAGAATGCCAATCAAAGAAGTCAAACCATATTTGAGCTGCTGTATCTATGCCAAATGATGTTAGAATTCATGAGAGTGTGAAGAAGGTGCTAAAAACCTCTTTAGGAGCTGATGCATGATCATATATTCACACTATCTGCTACAACGACATACCAAATCATTAGCTGAAAGCTGGGTTGATGAATACATTTGTTTCTTGTTGAACACCACACTCAGCAATATGATGGCAGCCAGTAAATAGTCAAGTCTCTACTAGTCAATCCAGTGATTGATATTATGAAGAACAATTCATACCATGGGGGCACCATGACATGCCATCAACGAGAAATTGAGTGAATTTAGTTTTACGCCACTTTAGCAATATTCCAGCAATATCAGCGAGGGACACCAGATATGGGCTTCACACATTGTATGCCATCAATGAAATGTTCCCCTTGATCCCAGGTAGGTGCCATGAAGGAAACATAAAAACACACAATATATCTCAGACGTCTTAACACCTCACTGTGTAGATAAAAATGCCCTTGTATTGTTTGAAAATAATTTTATCCAAATCTGCTCATAGAGTTACATTCTTCAGTAACCTTATCAGGAAGAGCGCTGCCAAACTGCAAGAAATACATGCAAACATTGTGTCCCAGTGTTGAAACTTATGTGAACATCATTTTGACCCACCTGTTTTGTGACGACAAAGTAAGCATACATGGCCATGGTGGTTCCGTATGTGACGAAGTAGGTCACCGGCTCCATGATGTCCCAGGAATATTCCCACCAAGTAAGTCGGGCAAGGATACCGAACTGAAGCCCCATCAACCCCAGACCCAGCCATGTCAGCTTTGACGTGTAGCCATTCGACTTCATAGCCAGTTCATGTTTAACCTTAAAGAAGGAAATTAGAAATGATAAGAAGTGTTACTTTCTGAAACTGACACACTCAAATAAATGACATTATCATGACATGTAAAAGCAAAAGTAAATCTGCTGCAAATTGGAATTGATCAACATGTACAAGGAGTCTGTCAGCACTGACACCCACACAACAGAATTGTTTCTTCCTGGAGGTCAAGGTCAAATTCTCCATATAAATCAACTGTTATTTGGCTATCAATGATTCAATTAAGACACTAAACTAAACAATTATTCTTTGGGGGATTTGTGTTTTTTTGCAAAATGAAGATACCTAACCCTTTCTTATTACAAAACTTAAAAGACAATCATCTACTTCTAAATTGTCAAATGATTTATCTGTTACTCAAGTTAGATGCAACATTTTAATTATTTCTCACAATAAAAAGTTGTGTGAACAACAGCCAGCCTTACACCTTTCATATTTCAGAATGTGGCATACTTCAGTACATTGTACCAAAATTTCCTAGTGCCTAAGGGAAGTAACTCTGCATTGAGGATGATTGTGCCAATTGTGTCCCTTACACACCATTCAAAAATAGGGTAAATTTTCAGAACAAGTTCCAGCCACGCAGAAACAAACTGTCTCCATGGATATCTGGCTCAGCTGCTTCCGGCTGATATCGATCTGTGGAATCATTTAAACTAATTTTGTTTTAATTATGTGACTATTTGTAGGTTAGTGGGAGCATTAATGCAGCCAACTTTTAAGACAGGTAATATTGACACTGTGAAAAATAGATTAAAGCATTTCATTGGATTTTGATGGTGGTTAAAACAGCTAGATATTGACAACCAAGCCTCTGACAAAGTAATAATGCTGTACATAATCCCCCAGTTTTCTCCAGAGGTGAGCTCATGGGAACATCACTGGCAGCTGAGGTGTGTGTAGATGGAACTTCACATTGATTTTAACATTAAGCCTGAGAGTACTGCTCCTATATTTTAGCCACATGAGGTCCCAATATCCTGGTCCAGATTCAGATTTCACTCAAAATGCCGTCTACTGTTTAATTCACATAAAACACATTCATGATCAATCTGAGCAGATCAATACTTGAGATAAATCTTCTTTTTATTTCTTTTACTCCAGACAACTTTAGAAATAAAACTGATTAAAATCCGAGTAGGCATATGCAAACACAGATGGATCAATGAGCCCGGCAGCCACGAGAACCATGTTTCCACTGGCCTACAATACCAGCTACAATGCACTGCTATTTGTTTGTCATGTTAATATTGATATATCAGCATGAGTTCAATGTCCTTTACTGTTCAGGGCGTTGGGGTAGCCTAGTGGTTAAAGCATTTGTTCGTCACGGTGGAGACCCGGGTTTGATTCGCCACATGAGTACAATGTGTGAAGGCCATTTCCGGTGTCCTACGCTCTGCTTTTGCTGGATTATTGCTAAAAGGGGCGTAAAATTAACTCACTCACTCACCTTTAGTGTTCTCTATATGAAATAATGTAGTTAGGTTTTATGACTGATTTGTGATACAAAGTGCAACAATTTGCTGTAAAGAGTTACATCCCCTGATGCAAGAATCATTTGATAGTGGGTTTGAATCTAAGATTCACTACGCACTTGATCTATTATGTGTTGTAAATAATGATTCACAAGAGTTTAAGGGACGTCTGAATTTATTTGGTTTTATCAAAATTACAGATAAGAAGGGTAATCATGAAGGGCAGGGACTGGCAAAGTATAATACAAGTATAATATATGTTTATGGAAAATGAAGACCATTCTAAGGGAGATAACTACCCGTTCTAGAGGTGCCAGCTGCACTTTGAGGTCCTCCAGTTTTTGCTGTAGCTCCTTCTCACGCTCCAGCTGATACTGCTCCACATTCAGGGTGGAGAACAGCGTCGATATCAATGCTTTCACATCCGACAACATCACAGCATCCTCACTCACCATGGGGCCTGAAAACAAAAGTAAAGAATATAGAAAATATATTCATTCATAAACACTCTCACATTTTTCAACATATCAAACCCTCTGAACATGAATCAATTTTTTCGAATTCAGCAAATGAACTAACTTAACATCCATCCATCTATAATCAAGACTAATCTCATATATATTTGGGGCGGAGGGGTAGCCTAATGGTTCAAGAGTCCGCTCACACTGAAGACAAGGGGGGCGATTCCTCACATGGGTTCAATGTGCGAGGCCCATTTCTGGTGTTCCCCCTGGTGCTGGAATATTGCTAAAAGCGGCATAAAACCACATTCATTCACACACATCTATTTAAAGATTATTTCAAAATTTAGAAAAGTTGAATTGGATATGAAAGACATTGACAAAGGCATACACAATTTATCATAACTGTGTTGTTTCTCATGAAGTAAAACCATATATCAAACATTTAACAGCTTATACAACACAGACACAGACACACATACACAGATGCAGATGCATACACACACAGACACAGATGCATACACAGACAGACAGACAACCCCCCCCCCCACACACACACACACAGTTTGGACCTTTTGGAAAGTCAAAATGGGCAATACACCCTCTTTAGCTGCAAGTATACCTTGTTTGACTTTAGTTTACCATCATGTGCCTTATCATTACCAAAACATCCCATTATTATCCCTGCGTACATGTTGTTTTTAAAAAATATATGGAATTAGGTGAATTTGAAGTTACCAGATAAAGTACTAGTATTTGTACATACATACATACATGGTAGAAATTATTAGACAGACAGACAGATTAACCAATGGACAGTCAGACAGACAAAGCTATGTCAGACAAGTGATACACCCAGACAGGCTCCAACAAAATCTAAGTTGGCCTTTGATCTAAAGAACAACAACATAAAGTATAATATCACACTTTCAGACAACATTAGAGCTGATCGTGGACTAATCCCTTGATTGGTCATGTTCGTAATGCAGGGAAGACAGCCAAAGTGCCTCCATTTGGTTTCGCCTGTGTGTACAGACAGCGATCAGGTTACCTAAAAGCATGGCCAGACTCATAGACTTAAAATCCCACTTCAAAGCTGTAGTCACATTCCCCTGGATTTACTGAAGCAGTCATAAAATCAATCCACAGAGCCAAAACCTAATTATGGCTTGAGGTGCTTTTTTTCTATTCTGGTGGAAAGGGGTTAATGTGCTATCTGTGTGTTACGGTTCACCAGCACTGGTACAGCTTGCTGGTATGCCATCCTCTCACACACGTCATCACCATCATTACTGTCTATAGGAGAGAAGCTGCTGGGTTAGTAATCTGCAATTCAGCAAACACCACACATATATACTGCTCAAAAGAAGTAAAGGGCCAAACATATTACATACTACTCTACTGCAAGAGGTTAATTCAGTGAGTGAGTGAGTTTAGTTTTACGCCGCACTCAGCAATATTCCAGCTATATGGCGGCGGTCTGTAAATAATCGTGTCTGGACAAGACAATCCAGTGATCAACAACAGGAGCATCGATCTGCGCAATTGGAAACCGATGACATCTGTCAACCAAGCCAGCGAGACTGACCATCTGATCCCGTTAGTCGCCTCTTACGACAAGCATGGGTTACTGAAGGTTCATTCTAACCCGGACCTTCATGGGACGGTTAATTCAGTATGGCATTGAAATAACATCTAAGAAACGATTGGTCCTTTACTTCTTTTGAGTAGTATATACAACAGCAAAAAACCCACGATCTAGGCTATGAAATAATTATCCTTCATTCCTTCAACTGTAGTACAGAAGATTGAGCTGCCATACATAATTTATACTGTACTCACACTGACAATACAGAGGTTTTGAAGCCTATGGCTGTCTATAGAAGCCAGAGTGTGTTCATATGGGTTGGGTTGGGAGAGTGTAAGAGATGTAAGGTCAGATCGAAGTCATGCATCAATGAAAATATACATAGCTAATCGTTCAAGCCTAGAGAGGTCCTATACCGACACTGATTCTCTGTTTAGCACACTGTCATATTTCATAAATGTACTTTTGCACACATCAGACAGTCAAACAAATGCAAGAAATTATAGAGTAATCATGCAAAGATTTATCTACACCTGATCAGAACCGATACATGGCTCCATAGTCACCATATAATAGATATATGGACTCTGGTGGCTCCTAGTTAAAAGTCAGATTTAATCCCAAATTAACCAATCAGGGTTGTATATCATACACGGTTCCAAGTCCAAAGTCAGCAAAAATTCTAAAATCAATCGATCAGAGTTGCATATTAATAGTTTATGCACTCAAGTGATAGAACTCTGTAGTTCCCATGTATCGTCAAGTCACATAAGTTCGATCGTCATGTAACTTCGATCGCCCATTTTGAATGGTAATTGTCGCAATACGTAGCGATAACTTACGATATCTGCAGCTTTGATCTTCTGGTGACACCACTTTTATTCGTTTGGACCGGAAAATGTTTCGTGTCAAGTTACCAAAGTTATAGCTCATATTCAGCAAACAACTACTTTTTAACCCTAGATCAATAATGTAACTTTATCAGCTCCAATAAAATGTAAACAGTACTTATTTCACACGTTGTAAATTGACGGCACCCCTGTCTTCTGTTTGTTTACGTTGCTGGTTTAATTGTGACATGTCCAGACACGTGATATCCTTGTCAAAATTTAAAACTTTGGAAACAAGTAAGGGCCATTTCTTATAGAAAACTTAATGCTTTTTGAGAATTTCCGTGAATTTGTACCTGATGAAGTTCGAGCTATTGCCTCATTGATAAATACAACCTTGGCACAATGTACCCACCCTACATGTCAGCACAGAACACATTCACGTTTCTGCAAGCCAGTTCGTGGTGTTTGTCTACATTCTGAGGTTTGATGCCTGTCACGATGTGCCTGAAGAATAATTCCCTGCATAATACTTCTATATAAGCTGAATATTTGTGACTTTTCATCGTTTTTAGAAGTATTGAAACATAAAATGAACGTTTCATGGACATAAATACCATAAAATTACTTGGGACTGCTCAAACTCTGAATTTGACACAAGAAATCGCCCTTACAAGTCATCCTGTTTACGTTACTAGCCAGCCAATCATATGATCGAACTTATGTGACGTAGCTTTCTGGGTCACTTGTGTTGACAGTGAGAGGGCGGCCATGCCGCGATTGTGAAAAGCAGTAAAAATACCTGGATTCTGGAAATGTTTGACATAAATAAACAAGTTTAGAGGTAAGAGATTTGAAAATAAGATTATATGAATATAACTTTGAAAATTCAGCGACAGTTCTTAAGTGATCGAACTTACATGACACAAGGATACTTAGTTCTGATCTTTTTCCAAACATTTGTTAAATTACAATGACAGTTTCTCCAACAGACACAACCACTGTTATACCTGTGGAGGTATTACATCACAAACACAGCTGGCTGATTTATTGTGTGGAGATCTGTGGAAGGGACTGGTCATCCTTTGGCATGGCATTTCAACACATTTCACAAGATTGTATTACTCCAACTCAAATTTTGTCAGCAAAACAGACAGCAGTGTAAAAATTCAAAGGCTTTGTACCTCTTCCCATTATAAGGTATTTGTCCTGTAAATCACCACAGTCTACACAGTCTCAACAAATACCTATTAACCAAGACAGAGTTCATATTTCTCCAATAGAGAAACACTGTTGATGACTTCAGTATTTATTGCCTAGTCAGCAGTATTCCAGCCATGACTGGGTCAAGGAGTCCAGATGGTCTGGTACATACATCAAAGCACTATTCCCACCATGCAGCCACACTGGCCAACACTTCCCATTATAGACATTCATGTATCAATTATTGATTACTGGGGCCCATTACGCTGAAGATTCCAGAACGTCAGGACACACCAATCACTGGCACCAAATTTGGAATATCATGGTTGTACTTTCTTTCCATGATCACAGTTTTATCAAACAGGAAGTAAAAAACAGCATCTTCCAATGATTGATTGTGTCTCATCTCTACTCCAAACCTAGTAGTTACTGGGCTTCATAGAAAGCTTGATGTATAGTGTCAAGTCTTGAGAAAAACATTTCTGACAATTTAATTGTTTTCTGAAATATGCTTTCCTTTCTGGTTCTAGGTGCACTTTATGATTACACTGTGATAAAACATACATGACCAGTAGTTATCTAACATGAAACAAAAGATGCTGCACTCATCAATATTCCAGTCACATGACGGCGCCATGTCTCTGATCAAGTCTAAACAAGACAATCCAGTGATTGATAATGTGAGTAGTGACTGATTGAGTGAGTTTAGTTTTACGCCGCACTCAGCAATATTCCAGCTATATGGCGGCGGTCTGTAAATAATCGAGTCTGGACCAGACAATCCAGTGATCAACAGCATGAGCATCGATCTGCGCAATTGGGAACCGATGACATGTGTCAACCAAGCCAGCGGGCCTGACCACCCGATCCCTTTAGTCACCTCTTACGACAAGCATGGGTTACTGAAGATTCATTCTAACCCAGCCTAGTGTGCTTCACCCTATTTCATAATGTTATTTCACAACTAGTTGTTGTTAAATTGGTATTTATATTTTGTGTGATGTAATATAACTGATATTACTGCTGTTACACATTTGATGTACCTCTGTCTGGCAAAAGCCTACAGATATATGTGCCAAGAAATATGCATCAATTCTTAATACTACGTTACACTGTCATTGAAATATGACATTCCTGCTTTCCATGACACTGCTTCCAGGCATGAAATATGTATGAAACTCGTAAACCTAGACTAGGCAAGGAAGCACTTCACTTCCATCTATCATCTTTCTAGACTGTCTTCTGAATCACCATATAGATTCCTACACCCTTCAGTTTTCAGATACAGGCGAACCGTATCATGAGTGTAAGCAATACATTATTCAGCACCACAACCCACAAGATCACATATCACATGCAGGCTTTCATCACAATAATA